TACCAGACTTTTCTGATCACAGTTTGAGATCTATAGTCCTTGAATAGGAGGTAGAAACCAAACAACCTGTACTACGTAGCTACAGAGATTTCAAAAATATCAACCAAGAATCTTTTAAGACTGCTCTGGATGAAGTAGACTTTATGCAGATAGTTTATTGTCAGGATATAGATACGAAATTAAATATATTTAATCAATTAGTTTTAGAGCTATTTGACAGATTTGCACCCTATCGAATGGCAAGGTTTACGAAAAAACCAGCTCCGTGGCTGACTGATAACATTAAATTTCTAATGAAACTTAGAGATGACAAATTCACTGCCTATAGGAAATCAAGGTGCGATCAGAAATGGGAGGAATACAAAAAGTTACGTAATATAGTAAAATTAGCAACTGATAATGCTAAAAAGATTCATTTGGAACATAAAATTAACAGTACGAACTATAAGACTCTATGGAAAGATTTAGAAGCTATGAACTTTGGCAATAAGACACCCAGGTCATCTATCCCAGTTGATTTAGCTGATGTTGACAAAATGAACCGGTACTTTACGTCTTTATCTAGTGCAGGTATAGAACCTGATGCTGATACATTTTCTTTTATAAAAATAATGTTAAACCAAATGTATCCCTCTTTGAATTCGCTTTGGCGTCCACAGATCAGGTTAAAGATACTTTGTTTGGCTTCAAAAGCAAAGCATTTGGTGCTGATTTGATAAATACCGAAATGCTATTGTATTGCTGCCCCAAAATTATTCCTTTCATGACACATATCATTAATGAATGCATATTGCGTCGCTATTTTCCTTTTTGTTGGAAGCACGCTTTGATTGTGCCTTTGCCTAAAGTTGCTCAGCCATCTGAGCTCAAGGATTTGCGTAATATTAGTATATTGCCAACATTATCTAAATTGCTTGAATCAATAATGGATGTTCAGATAAGAGAACACTTAAGAACGAATAACCTCATTATAGATACACAATCAGGGTTCCGTCCGGCGCATAGCTGTACAACAGCATTGCTGGGAGTGGTGGATGATGTATTGTGCAGTGCTGACAAAGGTAACCTGACTGCCTTGGTGCTCTTAGATTATACGAAGGCATTTGACAGGATACATCATGACCTACTCTTAGCCATGCTCCACTTTTACGGATTCTCGGCCGATGCAGAGTCTCTAATGCGAAGCTACTTCAGCGATCGACAACAGCAGGTAATGCTGAATGATAAGTACTCTGCGCCATTGAAAGTGACCATTGGTGTTCCTCAGGGCTCCATTCTGGGTCCGCTAATGTTCATTATTTACACCTCTAATCTATACTTCAGTCTTCACTCTTGTAAAGCTCATTTTTATGCAGATGATACACAAGTGTACTTATCATTTCCTCCAGCTCAAACATTGCCTGCTGTTGATCTGATAAATAAAGACCTTGATCGTCTCACTAAAGCTTCTCGAAATATATGCTTAGACTTGAATCCGGCTAAAAGTACAGTCATGTTATTCGGGCCAAAAAATTGGAGAAACCATTGTGAACCTCTGGTGAAAATAAACCTCGATAACAATACTTTAGAAATAAGCTCGATAGCGCGTAATTTAGGCTTATACCTTGACAAAAACTTGAGGTTTGAGGAACATGTTAACAAGTGCTCCAGAAGGGCGTATTCTAATTTAAAGACGATATACGGTCAAAAATCTTACATCAACCAAAAAACTAAAGTCATACTGTGCAATTCTCTTGTTTTGTCGCATTTTAACTTCTGTGATGTCGTCTATGACAAATGTCTAACTAAATTCACTTCAGATAAAATACAACGCGTGCAAAATTCTTGTCTGAGACTTATTTTTGGTTTGAGTAAATTCGATTCAGTGTCAGCAAAGCTTACTGATGCTGGCTGGCTGAACATGAAGCAACGCAGGCTGCTTCACAGCCTCGTACAATACCATAAGATTATTATACAAAAACTACCTTCCTACTTACACGAAAAAATTCATTTCCGTTACTTAGCTCACAATCGCAATACCCGCAACAAAACTAAACTGACACCGCCTTTTCATTCTACCACCTTATTCGAAAGATCTTTTTCGTATAATATCAGCAAACTTTATAATAATATCCCGCGAGAGTATACTTCTCTTTCTATTGATTTGTTTAAAAAACGTATACGCTGCTACATTGCAGGGAATTGCATGGTATGACTTTGGAGGCATTATGTATTTTTATAGTACCATTTTACAAATTAGCCGCTAGGGTCCATTCTCTGATACTGCTTATACATGTATGTATGTATATGTGGGTATATATGTGTATATATGTATATGTATGTATATGTATGTGTATATATGTATATGCTCTTTATCTCATTTTTATATATATGCTTACCTTATTATGATGTAACCTAAAACCAGGGGTTAAGTGGAAGAGCGGATAAGCCGAACTTCGCCCCTCCCACTATATGTTCTTATAAGACTGGTTTTGCAACTTGTTTTGTATTTTCTTTGGTGGGAATAAAGACATTATTATTATTATTATTATAAGACCTAACGATTTTAAAAGACAAATGGTTGTGTTGACATGTTTGAGACAGGATTCATAGGAATCTCCGAATATTAGGAAATCGTCTAGGTAATTGACTGTAGAGATGCCTAAAGTGCGAAGAAAAGAGACGACTGGCTTCATGAGTTTTGTGAAGCATAACGGAGCTGTACATTAACCGAACGGTAAGCAGGTAAATTGATACAATTGACCTTCAAATTGAAATTTAAGGAATGGTTGATGGTCATTGTGAACGGGTACCAAAAAGTATGCATCTTTCAAGTCAATTGTGCACATATTCATGTTTTTTTGAGTCAATTTAATAGCCGTTCGTAGGTCCTCCATTTTAAAATGCGGACATTCCACATATTCATTTAATTGTTAGCTAATCTTACTAGCGATGTTTCTGTAGGGGAAAAATTATTTTTAACCAAGTGGTGGCATGATGGAGGGTTGTCTTTAAAGGGAATCCTATAACCTTGAATCCAGGATAAGACTGTCAAATTTGAGGTTAGTTTGGACCAAGAGTCCAAATAAAACTGTAAACGGCCAGCAAACGGAACTTGTTTTACCTTCAGCGTTTCCTGGTTTGCTGTTGTCTGTTCTGAGGAAACTGTTTCGAGGAATGGCCCTTGTATTGCCTCACCTCCCTCTTACGGTAAGACGGGCGATACCTTTAAAGGTCCTGCATTCTTGGACGAGCTGCCCCCCTCTTCTTTCGGAATGATTGAAGACCTGCGCTGATTGAGAGCTAGTGCGTGAGGGGATAGAAGGCAAACGTAAGTCCTGTCCTTCCTTTTCCAAAGATTTCAAATTTTTTGCTCGTTCACCTAAATCTGGACCAAACAAAAATTCCACCAGGTATGGTATTTTCAGTCAGTTCTTTAACTGATGTGTTAAGTACTGGGCTAATTAAATATTTCCTTGTTTTCGAAATATCGTGGCAAAGAGCCGCCAATATTCGTGCAGAATCTGTCAAATTTGATAAGACTTTTTCCCTGATGTCTTTAGGGATGCTGGATTCGTCTTCCAAGATAACGTTGAGTGCTTTTTCCAGGGCGGTTAGTCCGTTACCAATGTGTAATTGGTACCCGGAGTGAGTGGCATCCCTAGTTAAGTGTGTGGATGAAAGAATAGCTTTCACTTCAGGATTTACTTTTGGAGGACGTAATAAAGCGCAATTAGATGGCACATTTTGTTTTTCGCTAAGGATAGAAATATCTTCGGCGGATAGCCCGTTTGCCAAAATATGGGACCACCTGGAGGCTAGGGCACCGTGAAGTTTAAAACTAGACGTATTAGCCTTTTCAGGATCGGCACCCAGAATATTTAATGTATCGTCTGATAATGACATACAATCGGCATCGTCAAGTATCAAAACATCGTCCGTACTGTTTTGCGTACCTGAGCTTCCGGCCCGCACGGGGAACGACCAGCCAGGCCTACCTGACGCTGTGCATTATCAGCTGGGCTGGATGAATTCTGGTTTTTTCGCACATATTCCCGTCTCTCTCTACGTCGCCTCGACACGCTCTGTGATCGACTACGACTGATGCTACTCCGCGAACGGGACCTTGAACGTCTACGGCTCAGCCGAGAACGAGAACGCCTAAAATAATGGGGCGAATCGGCATGAGACCTCGACCTGCTGCTTCTACCCTCAAGTTCCTGGTGTAAAATTTCCCTGATAAGACTCCTCAAGGAACTGGGAGAATTAACCTCCAAATCCCCGTCCCTGCCGCCAGGTTTTTCTTCCATGGTTTTCTCCTAAGTATATATTATATATAATGTGCTACTAGATGAGCAACAAAACAACCCATTATTGTACATACTTACCAACCTACTCACGAAGCACTAAACCGATTTGAAAAGGAATCGCGTATTTTACGTGTTTCCTAACGCACAAACAAGCCGAGCGACCTTACGGCTGTAACACCAAAACCCGAATGACTCAACGTGAAAGACCTAGGCGCGACGGGACGGGAGCGGGGATCTCTTGTCTTTTAACTTGGTGTGCGGCTAGTACTCCAGGGCCGGACTACTTAGTAAATAAACAAAGTGATGTCTTCGGACTGGACCTAAAGTATAATTCAACACGCTTAGGACATTCTTTAGCGCGATGTGACCCGTGCGGGGATCAACACGGAACTGTCTGACGGTAGTGTGTTGCGACCGGTACCGCTGAGGAACGGAACAGGCCAGAACTATTATTAGCAACGACGGAGAGATCATAGTTCATTATGAGGGCTGTTTCGTGGTGCTCCTAAGGGATAGCGTCAACACATTTTTCAAGTAGCTTAAGAAATTGCGAAAATTGATCGATTGCTTCATATAAACATCAAACGAGTGTACTGTAACGATGCTGTAGTGTAAAAGAATCTCTCTGCAAGCTAATAACGTCGCTAATATGTAACAAGGACAATAAAAGTCCTGCAAGCAAGACAATGGCGTGTGAGTGCATGTAACGACATGTGCCTCAGATCAAAAGACCATCAGACGCAGAGCCAGCAGGCTATAGAGCGTAGAGCAGAACAAACAGTATTGCTAACGATGGAATCATTATACCAGCTTGTGATTGTTGCGGATATTGTACGTCTGTATTCAACGACATTCACTTCGGATGTATATGAAGGAGGAACATTACCCCATTGGGTAATAGATTAATTGTACGCTCAATCACAGGCTTTGAGTTATTCATTGTGGCCTACGGTGCACCTAGTTACAGGATTGGATGGAAAGTTTACAAATTATTGAGAGCTGGAAAAGAGGTTTTACATAATCAACTTAACTCATCAATAGGTTGGGACAACCGTATTGTTACCTTTTCGCTTACAAGATACTGAGGAGACCTCGTCCACTAGTTTGCTTTTCGATTGTCTGTCTTACACGACTAGACCTATACTGTTTAATGATTATCAAATTGCATGAAATAACATTATATGAAGTTGGTCATGCTTACAGAGACGTAAATCAAACAGATTCAGTTCGACCAAAGGCAATAGACTTTTGCGTTAATGTTAATAAGTTCAATCTTTATCATTATTGTCTAGTATCAAGAGCGGAAACGTGCAGGTCTACTACCGTTCATACTATAATTTTCGGTTAACCTTACATTGAACTTCGGAATTCCAATAATAGTTCATAACTCTATATTTGGCTATAGAACCATAATAAATTCAATAGTTATATTTAAAGCTAACTACAGAGGTTCTACTGCTGCAAAAGCTAATGGAACATTGCGTACCTATTATAAAATGGGTAGTGATTCCTCTAAATATTTTCTTGTGTATTGAAAAGCTTAGCATTTCACTGCACTTACCTGTGCTTAGAAAAGTGACAAAATTCCGCATTTTTCTCGAAAAAACTGAAATGTTTGGGAATGAAAGGGTCGAAAAAGGAAAGAAATGATTTCTCCAGAGACTAGTATTATAACGAACATTTTCTAGAGCTCCTTAGAACTAAGATTATCATATCTCTTTAAATTTATTTGTTTCAATTGGAATGCGTGCTGTACTAGAAGCTTTTCCCACGACTACTGACAATAGTTATACAAATAAATGTAATGGTTGAAGATGCCTTAACATTTGCAACATATTCCATAGTACTTGGGTATTTCTAAGCTTTATAGTTCTATATGGTACACATATCCAACAACAAATGAAAATCCTTTATTTTTGCTGATCAACTTCCTTTTAAAGGAAAAAGTATCGTGTAGGGGTCATTCGAATGTTAAGCGAAAGAAAGAAGGACACGCATGTGTATATCATTTATTGAATGATGAGATAATTTTGTGATGTTTGTTTCAGTGTCAACATTAGTAATGTGGGGGTGATCGCTTTGTGGTGGAGAGTGATGGGGCGCGGCGAGAGCTCGCCCATGGAGCTGGGCTAGAGCCGCCTCTGCCGCCGCCGCCGGTGCCGGTGCCGCCGCCGGAGGTAAGACATCATAATCTATAAGCCCATCAGATCATCAATCCATCACTCCATCAATCTATCATCCATCATCCATCAATCCATCAATCCATCAATCCATCAATCCATCAATCCATCAATCCATCAATCCATCAATCCATCAATCCATCAATCCATCAATCCATCAATCATCAATCCATCAATCCATCAATCCATCAATCCATCAATCCATCAATCCATCAATCCATCAATCCATCAATCCATCAATCCATCAATCCATCAATCCATCAATCCATCAATCCATCAATCCATCAATCCATCAATCCATCAATCCATCAATCCATCAATCCATCAATCCATCAATCCATCAATCCATCAATCCATCAATCCATCATCCATCAATCCATCAATCCATCAATCCATCAATCCATCAATCCATCAATCCATCAATCATCAATCCATCAATCCATCAATCCATCAATCCATCAATCCATCAATCCATCAATTCATCAATCCATCAATCCATCAATCCATCAATCCAACAATCCATCAATCCATCAATCCATCAATCCATCAATCCATCAATCCATCATTCCATCAATCCATCAATCCACAAATCAGTCAAACCGCCTGTCCGTTAATCCATCAATCCGTCCATCCATCAATCCGTTAATCCATCAATCCATCAATCCATCAATCCATCAATCCATCAATCCATCAATCCATCGATCCATCGATCCATCAATCCATCAATCCATCAATCCATCAATCCATCAATCCATTAATCCATCAATCCATCAATCTATCAATCCATCAATCCATCAATCCATCAATCCATCAATCCATCAATCCATCAATCCATCAATCCATCAATCGATCAATCCATCAATCCATCAATCCATCAATCCATCAATCCATCAATCCATCAATCCATCAATCCATCAATCCATCAATCCATCAATCCATCAATCCATCAATCCATCATTCCATCAATCCATCAATCCATCGATCCATCGATCAATCGATCCATCGATCCATCGATCCATCGATCCATCAATCCATCAATCCATCAATCCATCAATCCATCAGTCCATCAATCCATCAATCCATCAGTCCATCAGTCCATCAATTCATCAATCCATCAATCCATCAATCCATCAATCCATCAATCCATCAATACCTACATCAATCCACAAATCAGTCACACCGTCAGTCCGATAATCCATCAATCCGTTAATCCATCAATTCATCAACACATCAATCCAACTAATCAATCAGATTGATCGAATTATCTGTCAACAGCCAGATTGGTGACTACGTCTTTCGAATGATCAATTGCTCAGCTAAATAAAACTTCATAGTGAATTTGAAATAGTTATTTGCAATACCTGATTTTGGATTTTTATGTTCAGTTTTTGCAGTATGTTTTGTAAGTACATAATTTTGTTGTGCATTTAGTCATAGGTACACTATAAATTTCCGAATTAATTGATCACGTTTCACAATATACGCTTTTGAGCAAAACTACAGGCGATCCAAGGTAGTATATTAAGGTTCTTCCAATTTTTGAAATAAGTTACTAAGCTAACGCTATGACATTTTCCTATCATACAGAACAGTTTAGAAGACCATAGATAGTGTCTTTAGAAATATCCTTCTGTTATCTATATACATATATACGTAAGCAGATTTTTTACAATCATTAACCCCCTCCCCCACGTCAGAAAAAATAAGCAATTATCTTACACCCCCTCCCATAACCATAAACATTTTGGTACATTTTACAATTTCACGCAGATGTTCTGAATAACATTTAATGTCTGAAAGATCAGGAAAATCTGGTGGACCGGCCCAACACACTTTTGACTAAGATGATAACCATGAAATTAAATTGAACTTGTGCTAATATATTTCCGTCAAAATTCGATCTTTCTAAATGCTTAGTAATATCAAAATTCAGAATTAGCAAGGATGTATTGTATTGTAGTAATATATAATATCATTTTATCGGAAAAACAGTAGGTTTGGGTGTTTAGGAGGAGCAGCGCCTCGCTCTAAATCTGCCATTGAGTCTTAGCTCAATACCTCCAAACGGGTGTGCTAATGACTGAGCAGCGGCTATTAAGTAATTGGCCCATCACTTACCTGTAACTACTGTTTTTGCTATTTGTTAACAACTTACAACGATTAGAGTCATGAATTGATAAATTACAATGCATGACAAAAAAATTTACAAGCAATTCTTCTAGCAATCAATTGTCACTGAACGCAAAAAATACTATCTTCATAAATTTTACTCCTCGTTCGACCACAATCAATGAGAGCCAAGTAGTCAAGCTCAATGGGAAGTCGTTGGTTCAAGTAGTAAAGTAGCAAATACAAAATTTCTAGGAATTCATCTTGATGCAGCTTTTCAGTGGGAGCACCACATAAGCAAACTATGTGAAAGCTTGTAATTTATTTGTTTTGCAATCTGGAGGCTCCGACACGTATGTTCAGAGAAAGTTATAGGGTAGGATCGCCTAAGAGTACGCGTTCCATAAGAGTACGCGATCGCCATTTTTTTATTGTTATCCCCGCCAGTCGGCTGTCGTCTCGTCAGTAGTTAGTTGTTAGTTGTCCCAAGAGTTTGTGTAGTTTTGCTGACAATTTTTAACAAATGCGTAACATATATGCGGAAAAAATAGTTTTCCTGAAATTACATGTAATATTTTGAACTTACTGGGTAAGTAATATTTAATTAAATCGCAAATTTTTATAAAAAATCGTAAATATGCCTTAAACAGTAATGTTTACAGTTGATCCTTAGCGACATACATACAGTTTTTCTGGTTGCCTAAATTTGTAACTCAGTGTTTAAATTTTTCATGTCAAGGTTCCTAAGAGTACGCAGGCAAAGAGTACGCATGCGAACTCTTAGGATTCGTGCGTACTCTTAGGGACACATGAAATGACTTCTTATTATTTGTTTTAGTTTGTTATAATGGGTAAATACAAGCGAAAGAGCGATAGATCATTAAAATTTACTCAAGAAATCATCGACCAAGCAAGGGACCGCATCGCAAAAGGGGAAAGTAAAAGATCGGTCGCAAAGTCCTTTCATGTGAATGAGTGTACATTAAGAAAAAGATTGCGAGAGGTAATAATAAACTGACGATTTTAACGTCAAAATGCAATTTTATTTTTATTTTAGGGTACTATTCCATCTAGTCTGGGTAGATTTAAGCCTGTATTTTCACAAGCACAGGAAAAGGAATTGGCTGACCATATCAAAGATCTAGATAACAGATTTTATGGACTGCGTATGAAAGATGTTAGGTACTTGGCCTTTCAGTATGAAGAATTAAATAAAATTCCGCATAGGTTTAATACAGAAAACAAGATGGCGGGGAAACACTGGGTACAAGATTTTGCAGCAAGAAATACTTTGTCTCTCAGAGCTCCAGAAAAATGCAGCTTAGGTCGCGCTATCGGCTTTAATAAAGTTCAGTGTCAACGCTTTTTCGAAAATTTAAAAATAGTTTACGAAAAATTAAAACTACCACCACACAGGATCTTTAATATGGACGAGACGGGATTATCTACCGTACCAAACAAGCTCCCAAAAGTTTATGCTTGTAAAGGGAAGAAAACTGTGTCAAAAGTTGTATCAGGTGAACGAGGTCAGCTAGTTACGGCTGTA